ACTTGGAACTCACGTGATGTTACTAGAGTTTTTGTGTCGTCAAAGTCGAACCGATGAATAATTTTAGACTATAGATGGCGAACTACGATCGTACTACACTTCGTTTTACGGCTAAAGCGTGCTCATCCTTGCGTATTCTAAGGCGTCTTTAGTTTATGCCACATAAAATGGCCAAACTAGACAGCTCACCTGGTAAATAACGCCTGACGTGGGTGCAGATTATAGGCAACCCTTAGACTACATGTGTAAGTGGCGGACAGGGGCCTGCGGCTCGTGTCCAACACCCACCTTTTGTGGTCATAGCATGTGATCAGTGGCTTCGAAAGCGTTCCTCACGTAGGACAAGATAAGGAAAATTTCAGAGCTTCCTTCATGCTCAACGTCGGTCTTCGCGTGCTCTTGGTGCAGGCGTTCGTCTATGAAGCTACATAGATGTCCATCTACGACAAAGAGGCCAAATATGATTTTACGCTCACACAGCTTCTCGGTATTTCCGCTGCAACGTGTGTGTTTATTTGAATAAAGGCCGAACACAACTGGTTGTATACGATAAGGAATGCTTGCTGTTGTACAGAAGACATTTTGCGTATTGTTCGCTCTTTGAAACACATAACTCTGGAGGGTTCCGTTTTCCTGACTCTATATCTGAATATCGGAAAAAGGCAGCATATCGTCCTTCTTTTTTATTTCCGATGTAAATTGAATTCGTGGGAAAATCGAGAGCACCTATTCTGGCATGAACAAAAACGACTGTAAAAGCACAAGCAGGTTTTAGCCGTAAAGAAAATGGTTGTACGATCGTACGTCGACAGGTTTGCTCTGGAAATTAATCTCTTATTCGACTTACGCGATACGCAAGGACTCAGCCGAGCGAAAAAAGAAAGTAAGCGGGAGGAATAGTCGAGGCCTAACAAGTGGACGCCAACTCTACCGATCGCAGCATCCACCTACTAACTCCGTAGGAGGCCGTCAGGACCCATTTCGAATTGAGAGGAGGACCAACAGAAATATTGATCTAACAGGAATGAGTACGAAGCACTTCATTAGGCCTTGTGTTTTTCAATTTGTCTATCTCGGATGATGTGCTCGAGTATGAGAATGGAACTTTAGATGAGTAAACGTTCTTCCCCTAGAAAGCCTTATTTATGCTTTCACATATGTATAGACTGTTGTTAATTTTGTTTAAAAAGCATGCTATAACTAATTTGGGACAAGTTCTTACTGTGGTTTTACAATGCAAATAGTATTAGTGGTGATAAAGCTGTTGCCAAGTAAACTAACTTTAATAACCAAAGGATATATGAGGTCCGTCAATATTATTTTGACTACATGAGCACTCCCCCATTACCCAAGCACTGTGTGAAGAATGCTTGTTCATAGACAAACACAATTAGCGGAATGATAAATATGCCCAATTTCTGAGGTAACTCATCTTTTTGAATAAGTATAGGGAGCAGTCCAAGAACACAGAATCTAGAGGCTTAATTGTATTCATGCATACGAAGAAAAGATCATAAATTGGATGAGGAAGAAGGGC